GTTCCTGAAATTTGGGCTCATTGAAATGGGACAGACTGATGAGCTTTCATTTGTTGACCTGGATTCACTCGTGCTTCGTTTCTGTGCCGACACGGCGTTATCTGGTCTGAAGCTGCTCTACAGCTTTGAACGTTTGACAGTCATTTTGCTTTGTGCATAAATGTCTTTGCCTACAGTTTGTGGACAAGCTCCACTTAACACCAAGATCGTAGGAGGCGAGGACGCTCCTGCGGGAGCGTGGCCCTGGCAGGTCAGTCTGCAAACATCTGGTCGCCACTTCTGTGGAGGCTCCCTGATCAACAATGAATGGATCCTGACTGCTGCCCACTGTTTCCGCGAGTAAGCTCTCACCCTGTCGTATGACCCGCCCTCTTCACCTGTCAACTATCAATTAAGCACTAACAGTCACTACTTCTCGCTATTTTCAGCCCCGTATCACAACTGACCGTTCGCCTCGGATACAAGTCGCTGCAAAGCATTAACACTAACGGGGTCTCCCGGTCAGTGTCACAGATAATCAGACATCCACAATACAACTCCGTCTCCCAGAACAATGACATCGCGCTGCTGCGGCTGTCCTCAACTGTTCAGTTCACGGACTACATCCGACCCGTGTGTCTGGCGGAGGTGGGCAGCGACTTCCCTGCAGAGACGACCACCTGGGTCACCGGCTGGGGCAACATCCGAGAGGGCGGTAAGAACTGGAGTGGCGACAGTTACTAACCTTTACTGTTATAGTCGGATTATGATCATACTCAGCTTCTGTTCATTTGGGATCAACACTTTCTGCTTTTCTTCATTTCCTGGCGTATCCATGTGATCTTAACGAGGTCAGTGTTTGCGGTAACTCCTGTTATGCTTAATCTGGTCATCTCAGGCTGCGCTGCTATAACTGACCTTCGCTTTAGCCCACCTGGTAAATCCTACTTTAAAAGTTTTTATTAACCAGTCGGTAAGATATAGCATTAGCTTAATATTCCCATTTTCAGTAATCCAGGCTATTAGTAAATTACATTTTTTTTAAAATCTACATGCAAGTTCAAATTAATGATTAATGATCAGTTTAGGATAGAATCAAGGCTTCAGGGGAAAAAAGTATTTCTATGTAGGTGTCACATTCAGGGGAGGGACTTAAGCGCAGAGTTCAATATGACGTTGATTTACAGAATCACCAACTGCAGATATACAGTGGTGGAATTGAGGGGTTCCAAGGGAAAAATGCGGGAAGGGAATCTCATTCAATGTCCAACACATAATCGCAGCCTGATGAAGAGCAGGTGTGTGAGCCAAGGGCGGGAGCCCGTAATGAGCTCCGCCCCGGCGGGGAGGTGAGAGGAGAAAGTAAACAAACACATGTGGCCTTGTGGAGCCGTCCGGACAGACACGGGGACCATGGAGGTCGGTTAGAGAGTTTCTTCTGGGCACATGTAGAGCAAGCTGAGACATACTCCCTGGTGTCTTTGGCAATAGTGGGCCACCAGAAGTAGCGCCGGATGGTACGGAGCACCCCGGATGGCTCGAGAACAGGGCGGTGTGGGCCCACTGGAGGATCTATGGACGGACAGCGAAGGGCACAAAGAGGCGTCCTGGAGGACCAGTTGCTGGGTCTGGCTCCGATTCCTCAATAATCCTCACGGATTATTGATTCAATTTCCCAAGAGGCAGCGCGAATCACACAAGGCGGCCGGAAGGATGGTCTCCACTCCTCCGGGAGAGCTTGATGGCCAGGAGCTCCCGGTCACTGATGTCATAATAATAATAATAATAGATTGGATTTATATAGCGCTTTTCAAGGCACCCAAAGCGCTTTACAATGCCACTATTCATTCACTCTCACATTCACACACTGGCGGAGGCAAGCTACAG